GKWCGAGTTTCACCTCTTGGTGATGCATATCTTTTTACAATGGGTTATGAGTTCATTAATACGGTATTGAAGGCACAAAATGTCAAATTTCTTCCCTCTGTTACAAGTGCCCTGTCACAATCTCCAGAAAACCAATAACCTTCAAGAGCCAAATGCATCCCAACAACAACTGTTTTGAAGTTCATTCACAGAAGGTTGCGCAACTACACCCAGACATCACAACCACCACCCATGTACAGCCAGTTGTTGGTACTAGTAGTAGTAGTAATCCCACCACCACCACCAAGAAGAAGAACAGGAACAACCACAAGAAAAACAACAAGAAGTTTGTTGAGTGGTGATGACGGAGTTATTTATATGAGTTTGAATGCACTGGAAAATACTGGAAATCTAGTGTACCTATGCATCAAGTGAGTAATACAGACACTTTTCTGAACTTCATCACTTGTTCTTCTTACTGTATTTCCCCTAGGTGAACTATAGGCTTGTACACATGGCCTTAGCTAGATGCCAATTCTCTGAGCCTGGCTTCAATTACCTATTTCTTGATGACCTCCGCTACTAGTACTAGGATTGCAAGGATTATCACTATAACACTCCCACTACTGTTGGTAGTCATTGATTATCAACCAAAAAGAGTTTGATGGGGTGAAAAACCAACGAAAGTTGCCAAAAGAAGTAGCACTTCACAAGCAACAACGGTCCTGTCGTTCAATATTGTTGGCGGTGGTGGGAATGCTTGACAGAGGCAGACGGAATTTGTGATTGGGGTCTGCAATCGTACCAATGTTGTGCCCCATTCCAAGGACGCRGTCTTTCGAACAAAGCCCGTCGCATGGCGGGCTGGATCTATCGWTAAAATACGCAATAACAATTGTGGCTCTAGTTTACAGTTTTGYAAGRCATGGCGGGATCGTGTATAGTCGTGGTTCATTCGTGTGGGTTCGGYTGAAAGGTTACTATATGGTACAGGCGGGCGGGGTGCACTGTGCCTGCCGCGTTCGTGGCCTCGCGAGCCATTCCACGAAAGAAAACGTGTTTTGGCACGTTATAGCCCGCGAGGGGTTCGCCCGGAGTGTGATGGGAGGGAAACAAAGGACAGAGTGAACCAACACAGCATCCCCGTGTTTTTGGCAGAAGCTAGCGCGTCTGGCTAAACGTGGATCCGTTCTTGCCCGCGCTGCCGCTGCTGGTTCHGGCGCTCAGGTTCAGAATCTGCAAGTCGGCCCTGAGGTTCTCGGCTTCCTCGTCGTCCTCGTTGTAGTTGCCTAAAGCATTTCCCGAGGAGTGCGTTCCGGTGTACCACGCGGGCGAGTCCGACGAGGCCCGGTCGGTGCTAAGAATGGTGGTCATGTACGAGGACGGCTTGGTTTGCAGCTTGGCCCGCGCCAGGAGCTTGTTCTCCTTTTCCTTCGGGGACGACGAGAGACTTCTCATCGACGTGCCAATTACCTCGACCCCAGTGTCCGATCCTACCGAGTAGCCCCCGCTCTTCGTTAGGGCGTATYGGGAGGACTCCAGCAAAATGGCCGAGACGCCGGCCTCCGTGTCCAGGTACTCGTTGCCGTTGGAACCGTCCTTRCCGTTGCTCCAGACACCGGTCATTCGCTGCCGGTACTCTTCCTTGCGTTGCTTCTGGAGGAGTTCTGCGCGCTTGCTCTGGATCCGGGCCACAATGGACAGCGCGACAACGACCAGCGTGTTGATGACCAGGAGGCTGACGCCCAACGACTGCAGCAGGGAGCCCACCCCGCTGGGAATCGTCGTGTCAAAGGCGCCGGGTTCCACGGGGAGTGGCGCGTCCCAAAAGACGTAGGGTTCTTCTCCAATGGGGGCYGTCTGGGCATTGGGCCAGGGCAGCAGGCTGTCGAGGGTCCCCGTATCGATGACGCTCGTGTCGAATTCATCCTGGAGCTCCCCGGCGACCGACGGATCCTCGCTGCCCCACTGGTAGACGGGGTACGTGACATTGAGCTGCGTGTAGTATTGCTGGGGTTCGTTTGAGTGGGGTGCCAGCGTCTGCCCAAAGGTTTTGTTGGTGGCCATGTTCAGGACCTTTTCCTCTTCMTCAAAGGGCATCGTGGCAGTTTCAAACTTCGGGAGATTCCAGACAATGATCGGCTCCGCCTGGTCGTCGTCTCCGATTGCCGCCACGGCGTTGGTCGCCGATCGCTTCATCGCCGTGGCCGTCTGGGTTTTGTAGACATCGCTCCCAATGTCGTTAAAGGGGCAGACGGGGAACAACGATGTGGGATCGGTAGAAACCACCATTTCGACGCCCTGCGAACACAAAAAGAGCATCACCAGRGACTCCAGGCGCTCTTGCTCCAGGTCGTCCAACATCAGTTGCCAAAAGGGCACGTGCACGGAAAAGGCAATGCTCACGTAACCCTCAAAGCCCGGAACGTAGCCAGTGGTTTGCTGCAGCTCTCTGCGCTGTCTGTTTGTGTTATCGCTGCTCGCATCGTCCAGGTTTTCCTTCAAATACTCGAGGAGGTTGGAAGAACCTGCRGAAACGATCGAAGAAGGGATCCGTCTTGTCGTTGTGGCTGCCCRAGTGTCTTTTTGGTTCTTTCCGGACATTGTCATGGTCAGCGTTGCGTCAATCGTTGCCGTGTCTAGTGTCGAGATTGTCGCCGAAGCATCCGATGCTGCAGATGGTAACATGGTCATCGAGGTCAATTATCAGGTTCTTCGTTGTTCTTTCTGTTCCCTTCGRACGCTCCTCGATTTGACACTCTTCTATTGTGTCGTAGCGGATTGGATTTGTTCTGTGGAGGCGCACTTCTCTACCCCGCGATTTGTAGTAAAGAGATGTCTGTTGTTCTTCGTCTGACAAGTAGATGCGCTCTGCAATGGTTTGTTGTGAGTGCACTACGAACCCAGTCAACAGACAGCAATGATTGCGGTGATAATGCTTCGATTGTTTCAACTGAACTGATTTTGTTGCAGCAATGTCGCGTCGCGCTCGGTGCTACAAGGTCTATGGAAGGAGGCAAGTGTCGGTGATATGGGTGRAACCTTGGATAAACGGGTGCACTCCTGCCCCAGGACTCGTTTGTTRCTATCGTGCTCTACTTTGGTACGGCCCTGTCACGGGTTTTGCGGTTCACCYCGTTTCTACCGTCTACMGGGTAGTTTGTCCTCTGTCTGTATCCACGACAAAGACAACACGCAACGCTCCCCGTTCTACCCGTTGCAAATTATTGCAGAAAACAGAGGCTTCGTGCACCGGTCACGTGGGTGTGACATAGGTCTCGTGCACCTGMCTATTAGCAAAGCCGAATCCCGCCTGCCAAACACTGGCACAGAAATTTCCAATGGGACAGATCATCGGGGTGTAAAATCCGTCCTTCGACCGTTACAGATTAATAAAATTTGTTTACTTCGACTGCGGWAGGGAATCTTGKATGGTCTACATCTGACACATTTGCGGTTGAAGTACAGAYTCTCAATGAGCTTTAGTTTGATTTTGAAATGTTTTCTATGTAATTCAATTTTTTCGATGTTTGCATGCTAATTCCATCCCTCAAATATTTCCAACGGATGAAAGTTTCCAAGAATCATCGATACACCGAACCGCGATCGCGGAGGGGAAGCGGCAGCCCTCCTCTTTCTTGTTGGTAGTGACCACGCGATCGTCGTCACGGCTCGTATGGTACGTACTCGTACTTTACTTATTGCGCGAGTCTTATCTTGTTGCTGTCGGAGTTCGTTAGAGCGAAAAATAAAGATGCCATCATATCAAGGAGGAACCATGTCGATTTCAACTTTTTGGGAAATAAGTAGATTCTCAGGCCGCCCTCTTGGTACCGAAAATTGTGATCAGTTTTGATCACAAAAAAATGTGATCAGAAATGATCACAAAATTGTTGAATTTGTTTATCACAATTTTTTTGTGATCAATCCTCCCAATCAACTAGCTCTGCAGTCTTTGGATCAGCATCAATATCGTCATTGGTGCCGTCTGGTACTAACATGATGATCAGTTCATGTGATACGTTCCTCTGCTGGTGGTCTTCAAGAAGAAGACACTGTCTTATAGTTAGGGGCAAAACCAATTTTTCCCACACCACCTTTGTCTTCTCAACTACAAAGGCTTTATCAAATGCACACTCAAGTTGAACAGGTTCAAACCAATCCTTTTGCTTACCACCATATACAAGAAGGAGTGGAAAATCCGCCCATCTGGTGCTGTCGCACCTTCTCTCCCCCCATTTTGTGACGGTACAGTGCTGCAAGCTCCTCCAAGTTCCATCTGTATATAGATTTGAATGGGCCATAGTTTCTATCTGTTGGTTGGGTAACATGTGTTGTATTTGGTACGCCAGGGATAGTAAGATAAATGCCCTTTGGTCTGAGTTTCACAAGCAACTCCTTGTACTTCTTTCTACTAGTAGTAGTACCTGGACCACTATCCAGAATTAAAAAAACACGTCTTCCCAGTATATGATGGCAATGCTTCATCACCTTGTCTTCAATATACATCAAAAAGTGATCTGCATTCATTCCTACCAGTTCATTGCAATTCACTGAAATGCCGTTTTTGACTAGTCCTTTTCAACTGTAGACTCCCTTGGTTTTGGGCAGGAACCCCTCTAAAAAAAGCTGCATGGTGCAGAACAAGTGGGTGACCAGCAGCATTTTTCCCAGCAACAAGGGTAATTCAGCAGCTGCTCTTGTTTGTGCAATCTGCACCACATGCAATGTTCTTGCTAGCTGC